TTCAAATATATTTATAATTTTCATCTCAATAAAATAAGGTTTACAATGAGAAAAACGATTAGCAAAGTTAATTATGCGAATTGCTCGTTTCTGACAGCGATAAAGACGAAGTAATTTACTTTTTTCAGTACTTTCCCTGGCAATATTAGCGTAGTTTATGTAGCAGTGAATAAATCAGAAATAAAGTTGGCCTAAGTTTTTCTTATTGAGATAAGTTCGAGCTTTGTATAAAACTCCAATGTTTTTAGAGACTTTAGTGCATACATAGTTAATATGTTGATTCCAATTAATGTTCTCATCGAGATAAACACCTAAGATTTTAATAACGGAGTCTCTTTTTATTTCAATTTCATCAATAAAGATTGGAGGCAAGTTTAAGGGTAAAAATTTTTTCCTATTCGAATGAAAGAGAGTCCATTTAATTTTGTCAGTATTTAAAGTTAATTTATTGGATTTGAACCAGTGGGATAAAAGTTTAAGTTCTTTATTCATTGTGGCAAAACGTTCGCTAATATGGCTCTTAGAGATGAATAAATTAGTATCATCAGCGAACATGATGCTCATCAGATTAGTTGCTTTATTTAAATCGTTTATATAAATTAAAAAAAGGAGAGGTCCGCTAATTGAACCTTGTGAAACTCCACAGGTTATACTTAAACAATTGTTGTGATAGTTGGCATTACCAACAACAAATTGTTTTTTGTTTCTTAACTAACTTCTAAACCACCTTAACGCTTGGTTATTTACTCCATAGTATTTCAGTTTTTTGAGTAGGATGTGATGGTCAACCGTATCGAAGGCCTTCGATAGGTCGATAAAAATACCTAATGTATATTATGATTGTTCAAGCGATTTTGAAATTTCATTTACAAGTTGGATAATTCTGGAAAAATTCATTGTTTAATTGAGGCATTGAAAACTTTGAAAAGAACATCTTTTAGTTGCTTAAAGCAATCTATTATCACATTTCCATCTATTTCGTTCAAAAATAGATTTGAACGCCTTTTCAAGTTCTTCAATTGATAAATCAGAGGATAGCTCATCAGAGCATATGTTCTTCTCCAAGGGTAATAAAAAGTCACTAAACAAAGTTCTTGTAATAGGAATCTTATTTGATAGTTTAGGACCTATTTTTGACCAATTATTTGTTAAATTGCTATCTTAATTGGACCAAAAAACTAATAATTTTCTTTGTATGAGCTGGCTCTACAATTAGGAAAGTTCATATAAAATTTGAGCTCAAAATATTTAAAATTTCTGGAGATGGAAATTAATTCCTTCAAAACCAGTAAAATATCTTGTAACTTTTCCTCTTTAATTTTTGAATCGATAAAGTATTCTATCAATTTTTCTTCTTTATCTTTTCTCTTTTACAACAGTCGTTGACACAGACTAATCTTTTTATAAACTTTTGCATATTTTTATAATCAGAGTCACGAGTCCACAAATCAGTTGGAATTTCTCATCACTTTGATAAGTAAGGGACTTATCAAAGTGGTTAGAAAGTTTTTAATATTAGCAAAGAATTATGACCAACGTAATCATTAAGTTCTGAATTTTCATTTATTTCTACAGCTTAAACTTTTTAAGTTTAAAGATTTCGGGTAAATTTATTTTTAACAACTGCTGAGCAATTTTTTCTTTAACTTTATTGTCAAGACTTTTATAAAATAAACAAAACACAATTGTTTCTTTAGAAATATAATAGCTGTGTCCAAGATAACTTTAAATAAAAGTTTGAGGAGCATCAGCATCAAAATCTTTCATTTTGAACACCTCTTGAACTGTATATATATCATTATGAGCAGCAGAAACAATTTGACTTGAATAAAGAAAGTTTTTTGCATGCACTGAAGCTATATATATTGCAGACTTAATACAGTTTCTTTCTCTACGGTTAAAAACTATATGATTGGTTGAGTAAGCTTCATTGCCAAAATGTATAAAGCGTCTGCCATAAATCTAGCTTCATGTTCAGCAGCTGGTTTATGTATAATAAATCCAGGAACTGCCTCCCTTTCAGAAAACGATGACATATTTAAACAGATGTTTATAATCATTTCTGGGGAAAGTATGAAGTTCCAAAGCTTTTTAGCTATATATTCTCATATACACTAACTTTGCACCAAGGAAACTTTGATGACTGATCCATATTTTTTTGAACATTTTCATGCATTGGCCAAGCAGCTTTGAATCTAGTATAAATAGATTTTGATGGATCTTTGCTTCTGTTTAAGTGATTGCATTTATTGTATGTAAAATATGTCGTCAAATATGTCGTTAAATATGTCGTTAATCTTGAGAATGTTTTCTACAAAGAAGTCTTAACAGTGGTCGATTTAAAATTTCTTTTAAAATACTTATACAACCCTTATCACAACCAGTGTTATATGCTGTTGTGTCAGCTGTTATGTCCAATTATAAAGCTTTCAATTCCAAACTTTTTTATAACATTAAAACATGCTAATGCTTGATCATATCTTTTCCCCAATTGACATTCAACTATGTCTAGCAGCTCATCCTGTTGTTTTCCATTTGTATTAAAATACCAGTATGGACTTGTAACAGACTGGGATTTTAAGATGAATAGAATGGCTAGATGTTTACTTCAGAAATATAGTCTTCCTTTAAAGCCGTAACTTTTTTTGTATCAATGTGCAAAATTAAAATACTATTTTTACAATATTCTTCAATTTCTTTTATATTTTGTGGCAGATTCCTCCTTTTACTCAAACTTCTTGGCTTTCTTTTTGCGAAACTCTCTGTTGGAATAAAATTTTTGATATTTTGTGTCTACTTTGTCAATTATCATTATTCTTTCAGTTTTATGGTCTTCATAAAATAAAATTTCGCATTCTTTTGATAGAATTCTATCTTTTTTAATTATTTTATAAAGTTTTGGTGCCCCATGTCAAATAATTTTTTTTCTAATGCTAAAAAGTTATTTTCATGGAGCTTTTGTGTCTCCATTTTTTTTGAACAATATGATATATCAGTTTCTTGTGATCATATATTAATTTGAAAACATTTGCCCTAAAATAATTTAACAAATTTTCATTTGTCATTTAGCTTAGATTTTTATACCAATATTTATCAATAATTATGTAATAAACTATAAGCATTATTTAAATCAATAGTTACCTAATACTTCTGCAACTTATGTGTTGCAGAATTTATGTACTAAAATTCACTTCGAATTCGAGATACGCACGTACCTATACAAAGCAGCTCGTGATTTATATCTAGAGGGCAGGAAATAATTTCGGTGTGCTTTTTTTTTTCTTTCTGAAATTTATAAATCTGCAGCAGTGATAAAAATATCTTAAAACGTCGCCTTTTTTAGGCAAAGTTCTGCAATCGATTTCGTGGGTTTGTCCTAATAAAAATATTTCAGTATTTGAACGTATTGACATTGCCATTTTAAAGTTACAAACGCAGCGCAGTTTCATAAAATTTATTATTGAGCTCTGTGGTTATAACTCCGCATAGGTCTGGCAGTGCAAATTCAAAAAAAAAGTTCCCTAAAAATGTACTAAATATAAAATATTCAAACCTCTTGGAAGGTCAGAAAGTTTAAAATTTTTCAAAATTTTTTTCAGTAAAAATCTTGTATGACAACATAGAATGGGAAAATAAGTTGACAAAGTTGTAGCTTTTCCAACCCCTAAAAACGGATCTGCCTAATACACGTCTAACTTTCTTGGAAGAAAACATAATGGATACGGCTAATTATTTGTTTACGACATCTGATATGTACCTTTATAACAAAAAACAAAATAGATAAAAAAAGAATGAAGGCAAAACAGTTTAAAAAAACAAAAAGACAGTTCGTCTTATACATGTTTAAAATAAAGATAAAATAAACAGAATGCTTAGCTTTTTTTCAATGTAATGCTGTTGTTAGTAGTTTTGATTACTTTTGTGAATTTTTTTTTTTTTTTTTGTAAAGAAATCTTAATGTTGTTTGTAATTAAAAAAAATAGACTTTTATTGTTTTTGCTTTTTAAAAAAAAGTAAGGAAAAAAATTTAATAAAATTTAACGTAATTTAGAACGTAAAGTTACGTTCTAAATGTATTTTAAATGTCTTTTAAACGTCTTCTAAACTTTTTTACGCAAAAAACGTTTAAAAGACATTTAAAATACATTTAGAACGTAACTTTTAAAAACAAATGCCCGTCGGGTTACTAGTTAATTATAAGTTAAATTTTATTAAATTTTTTTCCTTACTTTTTTAGGAATTAGTCCGAATGAACCGGAAAAAATACAACCAACTGTATTTTTTATAAAATACCGAAAATATTTTTTTAATAATATAAACAAAAATTCGATGTCTTCTGAAAAAATCAGTTCATAATGTTGAATACTTCTTTATTTATAAGCCTATTTCCATATTTTGTATAAGAGCGACACAAAGTGCGGTGTAGTTTTCACCAAACTTAGATTGTTTGAACAGCATTTTTTAATATTGTATATTATAAATTCATTCAGATTAGAAATTATTCTATTTTAGGTAAAGAATAAAAAAGCTTTAAATATTATTTAAAATCTTGTGCCCTACAAAAATTTTTTTTTTTTTGTAAAACATAGATGAATAATTTAAAGTTTATTAAAACTATTTACAGTTGCCGTGTCTCCAGACCTTTTTATAAGTAATTTAAAAAAAGTTTTTCTTGTCGCTTTAAAGCGTTTTTTTTTTGTCCAAAAATGTTCTTCAAGGGCAACGAAGGAGTAATTCAATGATGCTTGAAATTTTTAAGAGTAAGTTTAAATATACATTATATTTATGTTTTTGAAATTATTATTAAGACACATCTTTCAAAGTACAACTTTCAGCAACTCGGACTTTAGTAACTTTCAGCAACTCGGACTTTAGTAACTTTCAGAAACTCGAACTATGCAACTTTAGTAACTCGAACGATGGCTATTACATTATTTTTTTATTTAGTTAAATAAACCAAATGCAATAAAAAAAAATTAAAAATATAAGACAAAACAAAATGTATAATTTATATTTTTTATAAGCATAATCTCCAAATATAAATTTTATTTTAAAGCATATAACAATTCTTTCAAGAAAAGTTTTATGCACTTATTTTAATTCTTTGGTGACAGAAAAGTCAGTTACGTTCTTCAGTGATTTCACATTTAGTGCTATGGCAATAAAAAATTAGTTGAGATATATGCTAGCAATCAGCATTTTTGAGATTTTTTCTTAAATTTGCCGAGTGTTAGTTTTGTAACTTATCTCCTAACGCGGTTATTAAGAATTCCAAAATATCTTTGATTTGAGTGTCAGAAGGTAAAAGTTTAAGCGCTTCAATGATTTGGATTCTTGTTGCATGCTTGCGTAAAAGATCAAGAGCAGCTTGTAGATTCGGGTTCATAATAACACCACTAAATACAGAGTCAGGTGCACTGTAAGCAGGTACCTGTTCTGGTTTTAAATACATTTTTACTAAGCTTAAATAAACATTTCTATTAGATTCTGTAACGCAATCCGAAGAAAATATCTTATGACAATACTGTTCCGCCGTTTCATGATCTTTTAAAATATATATGTAAACAGCTAGAGCTTCTTCATGTCTTTTTTCTCTCTTATATAAAAAAATACGTTCCTCATAAAGAATATTCTGCGGAAAATCCTGAAGAAGCTTTGATGGGTCATACTGCGTAGAGTATTCCAGAAAAAAATGAAGTCTTGAACGTAAATCTCCAAGTTTTTCTGGTTCTTTTCCAGCTGGAGTTTGATCGTCACTGCTTTGTATTAAAGAAATAATTGACTCTTTATAGCAATTAAATAGACGATTATGAAATTCGGATTTTGTTTCTTTCCAATCAAAAATAATATGTTCTAAATACTTAGTAACAGTGTTTGGTGCATACCTATTTAAATGTTCTAATACACAATCACGTGGAAGTTGTTCAATCTCTTGTGTATCGTTAGTGAATATTGTTAAAGCTTCGTTTGGATACTTTTTTAAAACCCAAACCGAATATTTAAAAATAAGAGTTAAGTTTGATTGGTCGAGTTTTTTTAAATATTCTATTGTTCTGCTTGGTCCTTTCAGAGGGCTTGAATCATTATCTGATTGGTGCAAAAGAATATCCAAAGCTTTTGATTGGTCCAAAAGAATATCCAAAGCTTTCTCATGTTTATTTTTGCTCTGATAAAGAAGCACAAGCTCGTTAAACTTTTTTTTTTTCTCTAGCACGCGCTCGCATTCTTCAACGTGACAGTGATTACTGAGACGTAAAAGAGGAGCTATTAGATTTTCATTAACTTGCAGGTAGCACTTAAGTAAAACGGTGTCAATTAAACAAGGAAACATTTCGCTTCTTTCAGATTGCTGACTGCTTAAGATCAATGGCTGTCGGTTCTAAAACAAAATTTTTAATGTGATTTGTTATTTTTAAAAGATATGTTTGAATATAAATTTTAAAAGGTATATTATTTTTTTTATATTTACTAAAAATATGTTTTTAATTTTATATTTTTTATCCTTCATAACAATATAAACAGCGTTTCTTTATAAAATAAAAAACTTTCTAGATAAAGTATGAAAATAAACTAAAAGTTTTAAATAAAGGTTGCAAATCAGAAAAAAAAGTAAGACCTTGTCTTATTAAAAGTATCTTTTCTGAAGACTCAACTTCATGTAAACCAACGAAAAAAACAACCTCTACTACTCTTATATCTATATTTTGAAAATTGACGTTTTAGACGGTTACTTTGAAATTGACTTAAAGTTATAATCATAGTCCTCATTAAGTAAACAATCACACAAATCAGCAAAACTTTTAAGCTAAGAGTAAATTTTCCACTTGCCTGTAAGCGCATTATTTGCTATTTGTTAATCTAATGCAAGAAACAATGTTAAAACTTTTATTTTTATCATCGTTTAATAATTACTTAACCAATATAGTTATTTAAATACTTTAATTTTTCGATAGTAACTACCAAATATTAATGAGCTTTGAAAATGTAGTAGCAGATGGTTCTTGTGGAAAATAAATTTAGCCAATATAGGCTCATGAAATATATACAAAGAAAAAGGAACACTTTGCTTATATTTCCTGGATGTAAAATTTGAAATGTAAGTTTATATGCTTTGTGTAAATTCCCACCAAGTATTATATCCTCTTTATAAACTTTATGGAGAAGATGGCATGATATTTCATTAGCAGTAAATGAAATAGGATCATTAAGTCCATTGAAATTGAAAGCAGGGAATATAAAACGTTTTGAACTTAGAAAACTACTTCGAAAACTTTTATTAAAATGAACACAGTCATTCATAAGTTAAAATTTCCTTTTTCTATATAAAATGAAATGATCTTGTTCAGCTTTATCAGTTGCTAAGCATTCAATTAACGACTCATATCATAATATGTTTAATGATTATCAGCAATGATTGAATATACAATAAATCCTCCAGATTTCAAAACTACACCTCTTTGCGTTTTAGCTGGCCAATTTTTACTTTAATTTGGCATTTTTCATTTTGATTTAGCAATTTTTACTTTAAAAATTATAGAAAAATTGCTAAAATAAAATAAAAAAATGCAAAATTAAAATGAAAATTACCAGCTTAACTAATACTACTATTTTTACTTTAATTTAACATTTTTTCTTTTTAATTTGGGAATTTTCACTTTAATTTGTAAAGTAAAAGTTGCGAAAAGAAAATGAAAAAATGCCAAGTTAAATTGAAAATTGGCCATTTTAAACGCAAAATAGTGTAATAATCTTTCTTTAATTTCAAGGAATATCGTATCTCTATCGATTTCGGGTTGTTGAAAAAACTTTATGACAAAGGGATAGATTTTTCATATACAGTCAAACAAGTATGCTTTTTATAAATTTACAATTTTTATTCAAACCTACAATTATACCAACGCAATATCCACTATATTTCTGTAAGAACATTTCATCAAGCATTAAAATAACGAAGAGGTAAGAAAATGTATGTTTGTTGAGGTAAGAAAATGTTTGTTTTGAAGTGTAAAGTTACAATAATGTAAAACGAAGAGCTTCAGATGAATGAGTGATGAATGAATTCAGATGAATGAGATTATCTTTTGGTTTAAAATATTTGACACTATTAATTTTTATCTAAAACAGCAACAACGTTGCCCATATGAAACGCAAGGTTTTCTAAAATAATTGTTTTTTTAAAAGGTATTGATTTTGATTAAACCACTGTGAAAACCACTGTGGAACTCGAAAACTTTTGTGATACAATTGTGATCATGCAAAGTGGAATCAAATTGTATTAATTTAATACAGAGAGCATTATCAATAGACAATACATTAAAAGTACGATAATATAAGACATGGAAATCAAATTTTTTGAATACAAAGCCAACATGACTTGAAGATGAATCGAAGATATTTATGTGTTTGATTTCATCTTTTTCCATAAAAATATCTAATTCGTGTTGAATGATTGTGACACAAACAGTACAAGATTTTCTTAACGGACCTGGTGTAGATAATTACAAAAAAAAGTAGATTTTTTTGTTTGCATTGTCTGAATATATAGTTGGTATTGGTTCAAGAACATAATAACAGGTTCAAATAACACCATGTTTTAAAAATTACGGTTCAAAATGGGCACTACAAGCATCGGAATGCTCTGTGCGAAACTTTCTCTTTGCAGATTCATAAGCAGAAGGCCATTTTTTTAAAGTAAATTTTAACTTTTCTTTGATAGGTAATAAGTGTTTAATTCTAAATTTGTCATTGCCACTTAAAATCACTGTATTCTTTGTATCCTCATTAACTCCAACCTTACACTTCTTCTTTCTTTAATTTTCAAGTTTGTACTGCTACTGGAATAATGCTTAGGAATAATGCCTTCTAACATATTCGTGAATGCCAATAAAATTTTCACGAGTTGATGATACATATTCCAAAAGAAGTTGAAGCGATTGCACACCAATAGCTCAATGTGCACTTTTACCTTGATTGTGAAATTGCGACACTTTTACCCTGATTGTGAAATTGCGACACCTGTCCCAACCCAACGGGCACACAATGTCGATCCAATGTTGAATTTATGTTCGGTTGTGTTAGGCAACATTGACCAACTAATTATAAAGTTGTAATAACGTTGGGGATACTTATGTTACTTTTCATTAGAATGACAACGTTGTATTAACGTTGGTTACTTTAACGTTGTTTTTCATTGGAATTGTAGCGTTGTAATAACGTTATCTACACTAATATATTTTTTTATCGTAGTTAAAACGTTATAATTGTTACACTTTTATTAATTTAAATGATTATTCAACTTTTTTTTTTGAAGAGGATTTTGTCTATAATTCTTCTTGAACTATCAATCATTTTGAATATTAACGTTTTGAAAAACTAATAAAATACTAAATTTTAGTTTATGGTTTTAACCAAAACAAAGTGATTTTTATTGTACTTAAATTTTTTTTATAAACTTTAATAATTATTAAATATTTCCTTCATGATTATGAAGCATAATGGTAAACGCGATGTTCTCTCCGGCATGCGATTCGAGATACTTGTCCTGATGAATGACTATTTTTACTTAAAAAACACGTTGCTTTTACATCAAAATAATTTTGTCAATCTGTGAATTGAAGAATCGCAGAAATTATACAGACATTAAATTAACTAAAAAAAATTAAACGCAGTCTCACATCTGTCAACAGCATTTACGCCAAGTGAACTTAAAGAATGTGCTGTACAAGGAATAAAAGCAATGCTTTGGATTCTCATTTATGCTTTCTTCTACAATCACAACTTTAAAAAAATAGAGTTATGAAATAGAAAATAAAAAAATGAGAAATTGCAACAGTCTGCGCAGGCCCTTCTTTTTCTCCAGACATGTTATATGCATCATCATATAACTTAGCCCGGTAAAAAAAAGACGCTCGTGTCACATGGGTTTAATGTAAATTTCCATAAATCCCACGCAGAACCCACATTGAACTTATGTGGGACAACAATTTTTTTTAACTGGAATCACGAGCACCGTTAATGTTTCAAGTCAAGCTCTTTTAATCTTTTCTTGACTGCATCTACTGTGGCTTTTCCATTACGTCCACTAAAAGGACTCAAAGCCAAAAAAAATGTTTCCACAATAGCTTTCTCGTTCATATACCGAATAATTATTGCAAGTGAGTCAAGGCGTGCAATACCAGGTGGCTCGTCATTTGATGACACAATCAGTGAAAATTATTATGTTTTGGATGCTTTACTACCAATGGATTTATAGAATATTTTATGTCATTAGGAAGACAATTTCCTCATAAAATCTTCTGTGAAAGAAATTCCTGATCAAAGTGTTGCACATTTTGATGAGAAACTTCTTTTACAGAAATCCAGTAGCTTTGCGCTTCTTTTAAATCCCTCTATAATCCTGGGTCAGATTGACCTAATTAAAAACTGAAATAAGTTAAAAAAATAACTGAGCATTTTTTTATTTTTTTTATTTTAGTGTTTCATTTAAAAAGTTACAAACGCAGCAAAAGTTTTAAGCTCATAGCATATTTTATACTATGTTAACATAAGTTATGCTGTTTCAGTTTTTTTATCAATTTAAAAAAAAAATGTTTATATTAAATAAAAAAGTTAAATGTAAATATATATATATGAGGAAAATAAATTGGAAATCATAAATCCAACTAACTTCAAAAACAGGCTACCATGCGAACCTTCTTATATCGCTCAATCACTATTTTACATATTGAAGAACATTTTTAAGATTTATGGGTTTTTAAGCTAAACCAAAAAACTTTTAAGTTAAACCAAAAACAGCAATAACATATATACTTTAAAAATTAGGGGCCCCTATTGGTATTCTTTTTTTTGGTGGGCCGGGCACAGCTGCGCTCGTGCGCCCGGGTTAATCCAGCACTAATGATAAAAGCTTAGAAACGCAAAACGCTTTTACCCAAAGTTTTCTTAGTAATTATTAGTTCTTTTATTCAAAATATTTACATAAAACGGAATAAATATATTAAAGGGTATTAAATAAGGGCGAGACTGATGCTAATTGTGCGAAAAAAAGTTTACAATGCAACATATTATAATTAGTAAACCGTTAACAATTATTGCTATTAAGACACTACTAAAACTACTAAAACTTTAAAAAATAATAAAATGAACTCAAAATTTTAAACTTTTTTGTAAAAAAGTTTGTTAAAACTTTCTATAATAGCTGGTTAAAACCTTTTACTTAATTGAGAGCCATGGCTCCTTTTTTTTAGTAAAAAACAGCAGCTAGTTAATAAACAAAAAACATAAGGCAGTATTTTAAAACAAATATAGTATAATTTGTTATTAAAAAACAGCAATAGGCTAATAAATATAAACTTAAAATATATGATCGTAAAATAAAACATATATAGTATATATTTGTAAAATAAATTTAGTATACAGTGTAAACTACAGATAGATGGTTCAAATTCTATGGTTAAACGTAAAAAATAAATTTTTTGGGTAATGTTTTAAAACCCAGAGTCATTTTAATAATAGAACACAATTAAGAGGGGGAAGCATGTTAATGCTTTCTAACCTGAAGTACCCTGAAATACACTAACCCATAATTTTAATATTACCAGATTTGAATTCCTAGAATTTGACAAGTAAAATATTAAACAGTAAAAGAAATTAAAAGTTCACTAAATGTTAAAAATTAATATTACCTTAGTCAGATTACTCCTTATTTCAGTTAAATAACCAATCAGAACTTTTAAACCTTTTAAATAAAAATTGTATTAAAAATTACAGCTCTATTTTTATTCGTAATTTTATATTAGAGTTTTTTTTTTTTTTATTTACTCATAAGTTATAATTTGGCAAAATTTAAAAATTTAGACAATTATCAACTAGCTATATGAAAAGAAAAATAACAATATAAAGTTTTTAATTTTGGTTTGAAACTATGACAACAATAATATAATCATTATTATTAATGCAACTGCAGCGTGTATTTAAGGCTAATATGACTCATTTTAAATGCCTCAACAAGAAAACAAGAAGAAACAATCTCTCTCTCTCTCTCTCTCTATATATATATATATATATATATATATATATATAGAGAGAGAGAGAGAGAGAGAGAGAGATTGTTTCTTCTTGTTTTCTTGTTGAGGCATTTAAAATGTATATATATATATATATATATATATATATATATATATATATATATATATATATATATATATATATATATATATATATATATATATATATATATATATATATATATATATATATATATATATAAATATATATAAATATATATATATATATATATATATATATATATATACATATATATATATATATATATATATATATATATATATATATATATATATATATATATATATATATATATATATATATATATATATATATATATATATATATAAATATGTATATATATATATATATATATATATATATATATATATATATATATATATATATATATATATATATATATATATATATATATATACCAAAGGTAAGCGCTAAGGTCAACTATAAATTTTAATGTAGCCCTCATATGGCAGTTGACTAATCATGTACTCTTTTTTATAGAATGGATTGGTGCGGTATAATTAATATTTCTAAATCTATATAAATGACATATCTATAGCTTTTAAATTTTGTAGAGTTCAATACTTTGCAGATGAGACAAGCTTTCTCTATTTTAATAGGTCTATAAAAAAATCAACAAATATGTTAACTCAATTATTTGCCAAAAAAATAGAAACCTTTCAATTGTACCAGAATATAATTGTAATTGTTTGGATGATTGCATAAAAGTTATAAAACCTCCAATTGTACCAGATTAAAACTGTAATCATTTGGTATATAAAAAGTATGAGAACTCATAGATTTTCGAAGAAAATTAAAAAGAAGCCATGTTTTCAATTCAGCTTATCATTTTCTTATTAGATGCTGACTAAAATATTAAAAGTAATCATTTGCGTAGTTGTTAACTAAAAATTGCTTAGTTGTTAACTAAAATTTATCATTGGTGTAGTAGATGACATTTAAAATTTTTTGTAGCTAGACATTTAAAATTTTTTGTCGTCGCAGTAGATGTTAACTAGAAAAATATATAAAATAAAAAGTACATTTTTTTATTTTATATCTTATATTTTGAGTAGAAAGTGAACATTTGTATATTAAATGTTAACTATTAATTTAAAAGTAATAATATACGTAGTATATTTTAGCTAGAAATTTTTAAATTTTATTTGCATAGTAGATGTTAAATTTGTAAATTTTTTAATTTTTATTTGCATAGTAGATGTTAACTGTAAATTTAGAATTTATCATTTTTGTACTTAATGACAACTATAAGTTTTCAAACAATTACTTGCGTAGTAGGTTAATTAAAAAGTTTTCTGAAACTTTCTTAAATTTTTTTGACTACTTTTTTGTTTTTACTAAACGATGCTACTCGATATATATAAAAAAAAAAATCAATAGGTTGCAAAAATAGTTTTTTTCTTTTTCTTTTGTAGAAAGTGCAATTTAAATAATTTAAAGAAATTGAGATAAGCAAAAACTTGTAAAAGCCAACGCCAAAATCCTGGTGCTTAAGCATTAAGTTTAAAAAACTTGGTTGAAACGATAGACGATAAGTATTTCATGAAATTGTCATCAAATAGAGTATTACTAGAGTATAGCAAAATGTCGATTTAAAACAAGTTGTACAAAGGAGACAAAGTTGTACAAAGGAGACTAGCATATAATGTAAAAAAACAATAAGTATATTTAAAAGCAAGAACCATTTAAATTTTTGTTTCTTTTTATAATTTTAAATTTTTTTTTATTTAATTAATTAACTAAAAAAATTTGTTTGTTTTGTTTATCAATCTTTAATGAGGTGAGTTAGGCCAAATTTAAAATCTTTTTTTTTTTAAAAAAAAAAAAAAAACTTATTACAAATGACTAATATGTTGAAATAATTTATTTTATGTATGTAGATGTCAAAGAAATAAATAATAAAAATAAAATAATAAAATAATTATATTTTTGACTCTTATTTTTAATTTTAACGGTGAGTTAAAGTTACCCCTAGAGTGGTGGTTGACTTTGGTCACCACCACTATAGGGGTGACTTTGACTCGCTGCTAAAATTTTGACTTTGGTCAAAAGCAAATTATAATTATTAATTAATCGTTTCATATTTTACATATTCACAGATACATGGACATTAAGTGATATATTTTTAAGGCAAATAAAGTATTAAAAACAACAGCTTGAAACTAACTTACAAATCACAAAGAAACCTTATTAATATATAAAACACAAAAAACCTATGCATCAACCATCAAACTATCAATGCTAGAGTTAGTCAATAGATTATCTGTAATTATTTGCTGTTCAAAAGTGGATAACTTATTTTTTGTTTTACAACAGTTATTTTTTTCTTTGTCTTATATATATTTATAGCTGCTTGCATAGTAATTACATCAATTGATGATAAACTTTTTCCTGGAACAACAGAGACTTTATGTTGCTTTTTATTAGAGGTATATGATTATCAACCTAATGTTGTTTGAAAGAATCACTGGCAAGAGCCTATTTCTACAGAGATAACTTTATTTGTAAATGTTGTTTTAGGAAGTTTTCTTTCTAAAACAACATTTACAAATGAACGTAAAACTCCTTTTAAAAGTCTTTTGGACTTTTAAAAGGAGTTTTACGTTCTTTGCCACTTTCCTTCCAAGTTGTTAGTATTTTTCACCACATAGTTTTCGTTGGTCTAAGATATGCAATATCTAATGGCTGCATTAAACGCGTGGAGTTAGAAGGAAGTGCAATAAACTTGATGTTGTTTCCATCACACAAAGACAGTAAATTTGTATTTATATATGACGACGAATTGTCTCCGATAAGAAGATGTTTTTTAGAAGTTCTTTTTAGTTCAGGTAACAATAAAGATTCAAACCAATCTGTAAAGCAATTGGAGTCAAACCATCCACTCTTTGAGTGGTTGTAATGTGCTCATTTTGATCCATTTTCTTTCTAAGTTGTCTGCATCAAATCTGCTTTACATACAATATATGGAGAAGTGATATGCCCTTCTGCATTACCACAATACATCAAAGATGTAGCAGACTTTATTGAATTAGTTATCTTCTCAGGATATTTTGATCCTTGTTTTGTTATTACTAGTTTAATACCAGAGTTATTGGTTAAATTAGTTTTGTCATAATTCCAAGTGTTTGATGGAGGTTCCCCTAGCAGTTCAGGAGTGATTTTAACAAAAAAGTTTCTAATAATAACAATAATAACTTCTGCCCTCTTTCTTTCAAAGTTACTTTCAAATCTAGCACTTAATTGTTTATTTTTTTTAAGGAATGATTTTAATGGTTTTAACCATTCTACACCAGGCATATTTCCTTCAAATTGCCTATAAACATTCCTATATGGTCTGCATAAGACTTCACAGTATTGCATAAATCATAAAAGTCAAAAGGAAATCCAAAAGAAAACATAGTTATAATATAGTTTGCAAAGATTCTTCTTCAATTTTACTAAATATTTTGCGACCGCCTGGTTTTATTTTATGTATACTTTTTAGTTTACTCTTTATTATTGATAGAGGGATTTTAAAAACTAAGGAAGCATCTGTTTATGTTAGATTACCACTTCTTACTTCTTTTAAACATTTTCTTAAAGTACTTAGGTTAAAGCCACCCCAAGTTTTATTTTAACTAGAAGTGTTATAAATTTGGAAACTATTGTACAATACTTATCCTATATAAATTTAATATTATTTATAGCAGTATATATTTATTTTACATATATTAGTATATATTAGTACAATACTTATCCTATATAAACTTACTATTATTTATAGCAGCCATATATTTATTTATTATAACCCTTTCAAATATTAACAGTAATTTCAACAACTCACAATTTTGCGATATGATTTAAAATATAGTTTAAAATTTTTTATAGACGTTAGCAAACAAATATATATATGTATATATATATATATATATATATATATATATATATATATATATATATATATATATATATATATATATATATATATATATATATATATATATACATATATTTTACGATAATACTGTATATATTAAAAATATATATTTCAATGCGACTACGGCCATATCAGTCGATTTATGTGCGCATTGATTTATGTACGCGCTTATTCTTTGAAAGTTTAAAAGAAAATAGGTAATAAACATAACAATAAATAAATAACAATAAAAGTTAAAATTTAAAAATGACAAATTTACAAAGAATGATTTAAACTTGCAACTCTAACAGTTCTACCTTCAAAGATGATCATCCACAGCACTACATCCACAGCACTACATCCACATCACTACCTCCATAGCACTACATCCACAGCACTGCATCCACATCACTACATCCATAGCACTACATCCACAGCACTACATCTACAGCACTAGATCCATAGCACTACATCCACAGCACTGCATCCACATCACTACATCCACAGCACTACATCCACAGCACTGCATCCACATCAATACATCCATAGCACTACATCCACAGCACTACATCTACAGCACTAGATCCACAGCACTAGATCCACAGCACTAGATCCACAGCACTAGATCCACAGCACTAAATCCACAGCACTACATCCACAGCACTACATCCACAGCACTACATCTACAGCACTACATCCACAGCACTAATCCACAGCACTACATCCACAGCACT